AGGGTTTTATGCTTTATTGTAAAATAATAAAATTGACAGATGTCTTTACATTTGACCCTAAATGCAAATTCATTTGAAAATCAAACTTTTCCATTTAAACAAACCCATAGTTTTGTCGCACGCTATTGTTTAGTATGACACTGCAGCCCATGTTTTGTGACATTTGAGAATAAACACAGAGAAGATAATGTCACAGAGTTAAAAGTTACCAAATAACGTTTTCCGTCGTTTTAAAGACATAAATACAAAGCACAAAGATGAACTCCTAGCAAATAAAGATTGTAATCATTTGTTAGGTATGGAACTTCCAGCGCATATTTCTAACAGGTAATTATAAGTTGTTTGACAAGTTGAACTGAATATGACGATTCATCGGTTTATTTTCGACCGCGGTTTATACATAGTTATGTTGACACGTACATCAGTATTGGTCTATCACTATTTTTATCAAAGTGGATCTTTAATCGCACAAGTGAGTTGTAACATGAAGATCCAATCACCTAGCTTGATAGGAAAACTTATTTTATTGTTAACCAAACGTCTAGAGGATCACAGAGACGAATTCGAATATCCTACTTTTGCTTCTGATTATGGTGGACAATTACCCAATGAATGCATGTCCTGGAGTAAGGGAAAGGGGAATGTAAAGGGTATAAAAAAGAAAATTAAAAAAGGGATCGGTGACGTAGTATCTTGCTTCGGGCACTGTGTTGTTTCTAATTACAATCGAGAAAGAACAGACAATAAAAGGCTGGAAGACTTCAGTTTTGAATTACAAATTCAAATACCTATTAAGATATTTTGGTATTTGCGACAAAAGGTAATATTGTNGTATTAAAGGAGAGAGCATTCTTCGCGCTATGAAATAATAATATTACAGATGTCTTATCCTTGCCTCATTTTGCCTATTTATGCCTGCAAAAGGTCTAAACAAAAAATGAACTTTCTTTACCTCAAAGTCGATTTTCTCGCGTAGTTAATACTTGATCACCTCAGCAAGTCTTTATATCATCATTTCTAAGAAGGTAAGGATTCAGTGATCGTAGCTGGACGGGTGCTGTTAACACGAAATTCTTCTCGTTGCAGTCACAAGTAACCCTCATGGGGAGAGAAACGACAAAATGATAGAGACAAACAATTTAACAGGAGGTGAAATACAGATGAAACCCAAATACGAACTGATATGTTCCTTCTCTCCCCCCCCCCTCCCCCACCCCTTCTCACAGATAGATCACAACAACAATCAATTCATTTGGTTATTATTTCATTCATTTTTTAATCATTCTAGAATAAAGCGTTTGATGTCGCCATCCTGTTGCCATACAAACAGGTCACAATTTGAATTATACACTTGAATTTGTTTGGTTATTCGAAATTTGTCCATAATGCCTATAAAAATTTGAAGCTGCCTTCATTACCTGTAAACAAATTGCAGGAGAGTATATGGAGCAAAACTGACCATTACCGGTTGTCATTGAGTTCTCTTAGTTCTTCGATCGTTTTTCGAATCAGATGTAACACTTGATCATCTTCCCTCGGTTGACAATAAATTTTTACTTAGCTAACAACAGTTTTATGCTTTACTGTGAAGTAACAATACTAACAGATGTCTGTATATTTGACTCTGTGTGCAAATGTATTCATTTCTAAATTCAACATCAACTATTAAACCAGCACATAGTTTTGTCGGTGCGCACTAATGTTTAATAATAGACCGCAGTCCATATTTTGTGATAGAAAGCAAGAATAAAATGTTGCAGAATTTATAGTTCTTAACATTCCATAGGTTTAATTCAGATCGCAGTTAATATTGTTTTTCGCCTAACTATACAATATAACTGTCCTAGTGAAAAAAGGATCTTTAATTTAGTGGCTCATGTAAATCGCAACAAAAATTATTCAATCACCCACGTATACATGAGAACTAGCTTGACATGTTATTTTAACCAAAAATATAAAGGAAAACGTTATCAAAGAATACAGTAGGCTATATTTCCCTTCTGATCACCGGTAATATTTTCAATGAATGTTCTGACATGAAGAGAGAAAACGCAAATAGGGTATAAAAAAAGAAAAACAGAAAAAGGTTTAATAGCGTAATATATTGCTCCTATCGCAGCTATGCGCATAAGCCCCCATCGTAGCTATGATTTAAATGGTATAGATTTGGAGGTTGTCTCAACTGAAAAAGATTTGGGGATTATAATTGCAAAGGACACCTCCTGGAAAGAACACTTACTTATGATAGTTGCTAAAGCAAATAGGCTTCTAGGTTTTCTTAAACGAAATTGGACAGGGTTGGTTGGCGAGTGCCCACTTTTGCGACTTTACTGCTCCTTAGTGCGTTCCCATTTTTGTTATTTTTCTCAGCTATGGGCACCTCAGTCTAGTATAAGTAATTTACTCATAGTAGAAAGGGTACAGAGAAGAGCCACACATTTTTTTGTTAGAAATAGTACCCTATCCTATAAAGATTGTCTTGTTAGGCTTAAACTATTACCACTTAACTATTGGTTGGAGTATTTAGATCTCATATTTTTCTTTAAATGTCTTCATGGACATATAGATCTAGCCCGACCGATTGATAATTATTTTTCACCTGTTACCAGTCAGACTCGCCTAGGATGCTCAGCTTTTACTTTTAAACTAAATATGAGCAAAACATCTACTTTTCGAGACTTTTATTTCATTTGAATTATCCCCTTGTGGAACAATATTCCAGTTGATGCTAGGCAATCAGAGTCCCTTGGCTATTTTAAGCGCAAGCTTAAGGTGTTTTACTTTAACAGACTCTTGATGTCTTTGATGGCGAAAGTTATCGCACTTTTAAAATAATGTGTCCTAAATGTCGTCGGTTAAATACCCACTCGGTTTGCAGCTTTTAGTTTCTAACTATTGTCTTCTTAGGGGATAGAGGGGATAGGATCAGTTTTTGCGGGTTGGGTTTGTATTTAAACCTAGTAGGGGACTCATGTCCTATTGTTTATATACCAGTACTTGGTACAAATCCTTAAATAAAAAAAAAATAAATAAATATGTATGGAAAAAGATTCCAGTGTTCATAAACCCGGTTTATGATGGACATCCGACGAATAGGTGTGAGAAATAGGATCATATTTACCACTAGGAGATGAATTGATTGCTGTG